TGGCATCTGAAGTGAGATGCCATCCTTACATACCAAGGACACCTGGGGAAAAATTGAACTAGCCATTGAGGAGAGCCAAGGAAGGCTCAAAAGAACAACTTCTTTTAAGAAAATATGTGTCAGATTCAAAGCAAAGCACAGTTAAATGGAACAGATCAGTCTCTGCCCAACTAGCTGTCCAGTAGTGGAAGCTTCGAACCAACATCCAGCTAAGGTAATAGGTCAATCACCGGTAACTGAGTTGAAACATGCTTGGGATAAACACAAAAATAAAATAAAAAATTAAATTTTAAAACCTCCAAAGGCAGACTCAATGGACTCTACTCGGTCTTTTTCTGCAGTCAGATTTCCATGTTTCAACTATAACTTGTTGAATAGCTGAAGAAATGGATAAGACGCTTTGCACGCTGAGTTCAAGATTTCCTTTATTCTCTCAACTGGCCTTTTCCGGAAGACTGTGGCTGTACATTTGGTCTTGTTTAGAGATAATATTTGCAACAATTCTGTTTTAATGTAAGTGCACGTAATAGAGAGGGGGAGGAAATCAAAGACAGTGCATCCAACCCATAATTTATGCAGGCAAAAGTCAGGGAGAGAGAGGAAAAAAAATAGTTCACAGGCTTTAGAGCAAGGGAAGCAGATATTTGGACACCCAGGTGAGGCAGGTGCACGTGTGGGAATTTTGGGGCACACCCAAAGGAGCCCCAATTTTGCTGGCAGAAACACAAAGGGGCAGGAAATTCCTAGGAAAGAGCCAGCTCTTTTCCCTCCACCTGTTGGGAGACGCCCACATGACCTCCGTCACACCTTAATCCTTCCTGGACGAATCATTGGCTTCATGATGCTTGTTAGAGCTTCATTTGCACAGGGAATGTTTCTCAGGAAAAGGCAGGATCATGTGGGCTCACCTGATGTTAGGCATTTTAATATTCCTAATCCAACCACAAAGTCCTTCTCTGTGAAGGAATCCTCCTTCAGCTTTTAAAAGACAACCTCATGGGATCCACTAAATATGAGCAAGATTTTTAAGTAATGGTGATCTTTCGCCTTCAAAGAGAAACACTTCCGGGGTGACAGATACCAGTACAACTTAAGAGGAAGGAAGGAAGGAAGGAAGGAAGGAAGGAAGGAAGGAAGGAAGG